TATATATATATATATATATATATGTATGTATGTATATTTATATATATATGGCCCATAAGAGGACTGCTCCAAGGTATACAACAGAGTGATGTAAGGAACCGGTAAAGATGCAAAGCCATGCGGAGATGAAGGAGAGGCTACTAAGAAAAGTCCACAAGGACGTTTCCTCTCAACCAAATAGGCCAATCGGTACAGTGCAATTGCATACAAACCATATCAAAGCAATTCACTCATAATTTCGAGCACCACGTGTAGCAGAACGCCGCTGTCACGAAGAAACGAGATGATAATGCGGACAAAAAAACTGACGGTTTAACAGTTCATTGGTAGTGCAACATATACACTGACGGGCGAGACACTCACACTCCATAAAAATTCCATAAAAATTCATCAAACCCCCGTGAGGTATTGGCCCTCTCGTCCAACGATTTTGCTGCTGTTGCTGCAGCTGCCGCTGTTGCTGTTGTTGCTGCTCTCCTTGTAGCTGCTGCGACTTCGACAGCTGCTGCTGTTGCTGCAGCTATTCCAGTTCCTGCTGCTGGTTTTCCGCCTTGCATGCTTGTAAAAAATCTTTAAGAGCCGAGGATTTGTTGAGTTTCCTCATGGTGTATGCATGGCTGAAGCGTGCTTGCAGATATCCTTTGTAGTCCGGTTGTTGTTGATTTGTTTTACCGCATCACCGCCACTCAAATTTTTACTACACACTAGCNCTTTGTAGTCCGGTTGTTGTTGATTTGTTTTACCGCATCACCGCCACTCAAATTTTTACTACACACTAGCGAGTTCTTCCCTGCTCAAACGCCTCATCATCCAATTTCCAGGATAGATACGAACGTTTACTGAATTCGCTGTGTGAGCAATCGCATATGAGGAATCTCTTTAACTCCACGGTATCTCTTGCTGAAGGTCTTACGCCGTTCTTTAGCTGGTTCAGCGCTATTTTCAGTCTGTAAAGCATGTGCATGTGTGCGTCAGACATCGCTGCATATCCTATTTTGCTTAAGAGATTTACTTCCGTGGGAATTTGTTTCGCGAACTTCCGCCAGTTCTCCAGCGCCTCGGGCGAAGGACCCAAAACTAATACAGCAGAGAAGATAGCATCTAACATCATATATCGCCGCCCCATATATGAGACTAACTTGATCGGAGACAACTCGTCCAGAGGATCGGCGTGTCGCCTGAGCATAAACAGCGCTAGACGCACTGCAGTACAGCGAACATTCTCTGCATCTTTCTGGTCGA